TGGTGCTGGTGCTGGTGCTGGTGCTGGTATTTCTTGTTTTCCAATGTGGAAAGTAGTAGTACATGATGACACTTCATATCCTTTTTTGCCTAGACTTTCTTGTTATTCTTGCTATCTACTGTATTATATAGAGATATGGACTGAATATTAGTAGTTGAATCATGGTTCCATTCCTTGTAAACTCCAGGAGGTGCTGGTGGAAGTTGGGGAGGGGTAGACTTGTTCTACTATCAGGGAAGTGACTGGCCAAAAATACTACCCAGACAGAGACCCACCAGAATTGACTTAGGTGTACCTATGTATTTCAGGAATGACCAAATTTGGATGCTAGCTACCAGAGCTACCAAGAAGTGCACGCCCCTTGCTGGCAAGTTACTAAAGGCAATTTCCTCACAAGCACACTACTACCACCACCAATACCACCAGTAATTAGCCAATCAGATTGCTTGATTCTTACTTTTATCCCTAACTTTAAATTTAYGCAAATGGGTCATTCCCGATAACATATATCGAGGTATGTTTTCGGGAATCACTTTCAGTGGTACGGAAGGCACAGCCGGCCAGCTCAACTTACATATTTTYCCCCCATTTTTGGAATTTGGAATCCTATAATTGCATGCTAATTTGACAAAATTCCATTGGCGGGAACAAATTGGGATTTTCACTAAACCAGCTCTGTCTGCGAAACTTCRGATTCCAAATAAAAAATATGTAAATTACATAAAAGTTGGTTGTCGTGGGCCCACGACAACCAACTTTTATGTATTTTGGGTCATAATTCGAGCCGGGCGTGCCAAAATTTACACAGATCTATGTTTTCGGGAATRAACCAATATCGACGTAAAATGACATTTTGGTCAAAATTAACAGCCGTGGTACATCCGGAGAACCAAAAAAAGCAAGGCTTAGTCATCGTGTCATCGTACTGGGATCACGGAATTTCTATGTACGTAGCGTATGCATAGTACCACTAATTGCGCACTTCAGTATTTTTCTCGAACAGTTACGGTGACATAACATTTATTGAGGGTTGGATGCGGAAATGTATTTTCGTTGTTGAAGTTCTCATCGCTTTTACTCGAAGTTWATAATGGACAAAACGAAATTTAACTTGCAATTCATTTCATTTTATATGCCTACTATGACTTTAGAATTGTTCACAATCTAACATTTAAGCTCACAATGACCATAAAAGTCTATAGTTATTGATCCACATTAACAATTGGTAAACAATATTACCGTACGTCATATTCTTACAATAGAAAAATCCTGACCAATAATTATCAACTTATGGAGTAAYGTGAACCGGTACCGGTATGAATACGTAGTCGTACGATACCGATACGTAACGTACTAAGTCTCGGTCGCGTTTTTGTTCTCGKAAACATCCTGTTTCTTATCGTATTTTTTCTCTCTTCTAGAATTTTACGAGTAAGGTACGTTCGTACGAGTACTTTACCCTAAGTACAGGTATGAGGAAATGCGAGTATCGTATTTGCAAGGACAAAAACTTGACCGAAGACGTCCCAAAAAAAGGAAGCCATACATTGTATCTTTGGCCGTATTTTTATGCGAAAAGTTGTGGACGAAGCTGTTAATTTTACACAAATGTTAGGTAAGTACTCCACAACTTCTAAATGCATGTGWAAAATTGGATACTTCCGAAGGACGTAATTTGTAATTCACATGCGGAACGTTAAATTCTTCGGTTTTGGATATTTCTAACTGGGAAATTACGATTTTCTTCATAATTGTCAAAATCATGCCAATTGCATCCCCTCCTTCCGATTCTATTCATCGACGCATTCTCTGTAGCATATACTTCTACTCCACTACATTTGAAGAAAGGAAGCAAACAGCCATGTCACAGCAACAGCAAAAAAATTTCCTCGGTTCATGCGTRCGGTGTACAAGGACTATGAAGAACCGTAAATCTGGGGTGTCGAAGGCTATTTGGGGCAGTGTTCTTCTGATGGCAGTTACTGCCACTGTCACCAACGCTTTGCCAGAGATACACACCAAGCCTCAGGATACAACGACAGCGTCAGGTTTGCTTTACCCTTGGTTGACTCGAGACAGGGGTGATGAATCTTCTCCATTGCTAGTTTTGAACGAAGCAGACGTAAGAAACAATGATCTCGACGATATTTTTATATCACGCATCGTCGGAGGAGACGCCGCTTCAGTTGGGGAGTATCCCTATTTCGGTACGTTGAATGTGGAGTGATGAAAAACGGATTGAAAACGTAGAACACAACATCATTATGTCTGGAGGACTGCGACGATGGAACGGTTCATGCCTTGCAAAAATGAACAGACTGTGCCTTTGCTTTATATTGAATTGGAATGTCAGCATACAGGCCAACAACCCAAAAAAGGCGTAAAATGTTGAAACATAGAATTTTGTGATTCCTCCAGTTGCCAGTTTTCCTTACATGATTTAAACCTTTCTGTAATTTGCACACAAAATCCGAAAACCACTACGACACAAAATACACAACAAAACAAACATGAACAATGCAATATGAAAATAACAATAATATACAAAGTACAACCCCTCGCCGTTGGTTGTGGAGGTGTCTTGATCGCAAATGAATGGGTGTTGTCGGCCGCCCACTGTGGTGACTTTTCAAAACGCTTCGATTACAATACCGGACGCGAGAAACAAATGCAGGTGGTGATTGGGAACACCCAGCGGACATCTATTAACAACGGTGTAGCGCAGGTCCGGTATTGTATGGAATATGTTATAAACCCAGGCTTCGAATTTCGCGGAGATAGCATCGATGCAGACAATTTCAATGCTCCTTTTCATTACGATTACGCATTGGTGAGTTATATTGCACGTCAAATCGTGTCACCTCGTATTTTTCGTTTTTCGTGCATGTCGCGGCGTACGATATGGCTGTTTGATAGGTCTTTGATGCACTGCGCTCGCACCATAAATACCGTACTCAACTTAACTCTACGCAACTTCCAGTGTAAATTGGACGTTCCTGTCTACGTCGACGACAGGACTGTTGTCTTGAAGCTTCACACTGACTCTTCCTCCAACGCCTTTCCGGGGGTTGGTTCGGACGTCACGGCAGTTGGCTTTGGAACTACTTCGATGGGAGGAGATGTATCGCAAGACCTCCTGAAGGTTACCGTACAAGTAAATTCAAACCAAGAATGTGCGACTACATCTGTTCCTGGGGCAACCGATAAGATAGAGAGACTGACGCGGGATATATATAACGAGAACTCGATTACGGAGGACAACATCTGTGCGTCGGTCCGCGGGGGGGGCAAGGATTCCTGCCAGGGTGACTCGGGAGGACCGCTCGTCAAAAAGGGTGAAGTGCCTGCTGGTAGCAAACTTCGTCGGATCGACACGCACGTTGGTGTCGTCTCCTTTGGTCTCGGATGTGCCCTCGACCACTTCCCTGGTGTTTACGCACGGACGAGTTTCGCTATTGACTTCATCAACAGGACAGTGTGTGGCCAGAGTCGATCGCCAATGTGCAAAGAATGGCGTGATGGTCCAGTTGTTTGCGATCCAAGCACAGAACAGCTGCTATTAATACAGGTCGTAACTGACGCGAATCCCGACCAAACCAGCTGGTCGTTGTCGACAAATAGTGGTAGCGATGATGTTCTACCGCAGATCCTGCGCTCGGCGGACGATTACGACCAACCGTTTTTTGTTTACGAGGTACGTCTTTTTATTGAAGTCTTCGTTTGTCCAACGTCTGCCTCTGTGTTTGTGTAAAAGCTTGTAGGACAGACCTCTGGAGAATTCCACATGGCAAGAACCAGCAGACAGTGTAATCCTCAGCAATACGATAGGAAGAACTGAATTCACGTATCTTTGTTTTTGTTGCTATTTGTGTGCCCACCCGTTGCGTTCCGATGTAGGAATCGGTATGTCTTGAAAGAGGACAATCATACACTTTTGACATCCAAGACGAAGCTGGAGATGGCCTAAACAATCGATCCTTCAAGGCAGGAGGCCTCGACATGACACAAGCAGGAGGATTTTATTCACTCCGACTAGACGGTATCGAACAGTATCGAGAATCGGACATAGGCGCTCGGCGTACAAGGGTCATCAATACCTTACCATCACTACTACCGCAATCCGATCCGACTCCTGTAAGCACAAACAACTCGCATCTTTGCACAACCCCACTTTGTTCCTCTTGGCATCCGATAGTGGACTAACAGAACATTTTATCTTTCCTTGTCACTTCTTATTCATCAAACTTTGTCCCACTTTTACGGTCACTGATTCCAACGATTTGATGATCACCTCCTTCCCTATGGACATGGCATTACTCCATGAATTGATCAATTAATCAAAAATCAAAACAATCTCGCGTCTTTTACAATGATTGCTATACCCTGAACAACAAAAGCCGCCCGGTGATTGCACAAACAAAGAGTTAGACTGTGATAGCATTTTCAAAAAAATTAAAAAGAAAAGGAAGAGAAGAAGGAAATGCAAGAGGATCCCGAGAAACTTGAATAGACGACTTAAGTTCTATTGTCCTTCCTTCTGCAACAAAAAATGCAAATAAATTAAGAATATCGAACAAACCATGAATGTAATTTTTTATTCCATCATACAAACTCCACATTATTACTGACTTCTTGTTCTTTTCTAAAGGTGTGACCAGTGCCCCATTAGAAGTTAGTGTTGAAATCAGAAAAGATAAACTCCGAGTGCTTGTTTGAAGGGAAGATGATTTGCTTCTGCTGGAGGGCACTTGGTAGTCCACTTCTGGTGGATTCAGACAGAGTGAAACTGTTGATATATTGCAAAGGAATGTGATTTTTAAATGCAACTGGATCAGTGGATCAAGTGGAGTCTAATGAAATTCACCATGGTTTTATTGTGATAAAGTACTAATGCCCTCCCTCAACTAAAGGGGGGCATGCACAGTAGGGTGTTGGTAAAAGTATTTCAAAAACAGAGAACTACAAAACTGTCAAATGTAGTACCAACTCTTGCTCAAAACAATGTGCTGAAGTATGAGGAAATAGTCTACTATTACTAAATCATGCACATGAATTCATTGTTGTAAATTTGGAAGTGTTACCAATACTAGAGGAAGAAACATTTAATCTTCAAGATTATGTTATTATATCTTCTTGTACAAAAGAAAGCAAGGGATGAGAATTGCCCCGCATTAAAAAATCTCACTATTTTATTTAACCTTGTGAACTAGAATAGGCCTTATGTGGACCAGAACCAATCCTTCTCCTGACTGGGGAAAAGAATGCTCCTGTCTGCTCTGAGGGACAGCACCTCCCCTACAATGAGGTTTTGCGGAGACCCTACCAGGTTCTATGCATCATGCTGACAAGCCAATTAAGGCAGGTCACTTGACTCAGTATACAGAGATGGTGTTGGTTCACAGCTAGGATGAATGAGAGCCATGATCCCATGATCATTTCTAAGTGCACTGCCAAGTCAAAAAGGCAAGTCCCTCCACAGTAATCAAGGAAACAAGTGTCAAGCACACTGCCAAGCCAATTAAGGCAAGATCACCTGCAGTGTACAAGGATGCAAGGGGTGGAGCAGTAGTCTTTTTAAAAAATTATAATAAAGAAAAGCCAAAAAGAAAAATATAGCAAACTAATCAACTTGGTCTTGGTGGAGTTGGTCCTAAATAAATTGTAGATAACGGTCATGATGTGGATATATAGTGCTGCTACGAGGTGCTTGGGTTGTTGTTGGTGCTATCCAACACAACTGTCAGAGACAACAATGCTGTGACTAGAATCTTCTTCCAGTCTGTAAATATTTGARCAACTCCTGATGTTGAGTCTTCTTAAAATGAGAAGTATGTAGCATATACACCAAGCTTTTTTCTTCAAAAGAAAAGTCTTGGTTGAATATTGGGGGCTGGGCTTGTTATTGCTGTCCAATGCAAATTTTGGAAACAACAACATCCTGCTGACCGCTGAAAGAATTGGGGTAGGGGGTAGGGTGATGATCTCATCAGCTTGGTTGGATTGCTTGAATAGGAGCTTGGTGGGTTGTTGTTGTTGTTATTGTCCAACAAAAACATCAGAAACAACAAGATCAGAACTGGATTTGTCTTCTTCCTGCCCATAAATAGGGGGGAAACTGGGAGCTAAGRCTGGGATTGAATCTTTTTGAAACTGAATAATACTCTAGGCGTTGTTCCTCAAAGGAAAGGTTGTGGTTGAATACTGGGGCTGGGATTGTTGTTGTTGTTGCTGTTGGCTATTGGAAACAACAATGTGACCAGAAGTGTGGAAGACACTGGCACCTCTAGAGAGGCTGAGAATGGATCCAGCTGCAACAAACTTCAAGCAGCTGGTGTATTGGGGATACTGGTCTCATCAGTATCATCTTGCTGGTTGGGTTGCTTTAATGGGATCTTGGGTTGTTGTTGCTGCTGTCTGACATGAATGTCAGAAACAACATCATGACTGGAATCATTGCCTGGTCCATAAATACTGGAACTGGAACAGGTGCATGGAGTTAGTAGGCTGGGGAGTCTTCTAAAGTATACTGAATATGTAGCATAGACTCCAGGCATTGTTCTTCAAAGGAAAGGTCTTGGTTGAATACTGGGGGCTGGGGTTGTTGCTGTTGTCTGGTGCTGATGTTGGAAACAAAAACTTCAAGACCAGAAGATACAGTACTTTGGTACTTSCTGAGGAACTGGGGATGGATCCAGCTGATGCAAGAAGCTGCCACCACTGGGGACAGGGGAGCAATGGTACTATTAATTTAATTAGTATAACCTTGGTTTGATTGCTTGAATAGAGGCCAGGGAGGTGGATTTTCCCCTTTGGAAGGGGGTGTCACTATGGTGTTTTGGATGCAAGAAGGTGCAAGTGAGATATATATGTATGTAGGAATCAGTGGGAAATCTAGGTGATAATTTTCAGAACTGAAGTGTAAGTTCATGTGTTTGAAAAACATTTTTATGGYGATTGCATATAATCATAGAGTTTTGATAAATTAAGAATTCATTCTATATGGATGTCAAAACTATTGGTGTTGTGATACTTTCATGCATCTTTGACTGGTGGCATTTAACTTCTCCACCTCTAAGCTGACACTTGTAAACATTAGAAAAAAATTCCTAAAGCTGTAGACAAACATCTTGGTGAAAACTACCAAAATCCACACCCTGCAAGTTTGTACAAGGATAATTTTGTTACAACTAGCGGTATGATGGTAATACATGATACCATGATAATAGCACTATGTGTACTGTTTTTCAAAAAGTATCATAACCATGGCAATTCAAAAATAGCTGATTTAATTGCACATTTTTAATGCTCAATATGTACACAAATATTGCTGAACGTCACTACCCTGACTCCCCCACACAACCATCATCCTCTCTTTATTAGGAACACAATGGGGTGCTTATCTCTGTTAAGCATCTTTTGGGACCAAGATGCAGCTGTTAGATTGAGTGGACCCTTACTTAACATTCTATTGTATAGCATTGGCCAGCAGATGTACGATAAAATTGTACATTTTTGGGCTATCTTTTTCCTGTGTAAAATATGTCAAGCGCCTACTGACATCTCAAAATCTTGTCAAAATACACCATTTTTTCTATGGAAATTTTGTCATGATGTCGGTCGAAGTGCTGGAAATACATTCTTGATGAACATATTTACCTAAAATACCATCCAATGTTGCACCACTACTGATCCTTCATGATGCTGATAGCAGAAAGGCAACTYSTTGTCAATTCTTGGACACAGAGGAGTCCTCACAACCAGCATGTGCACCATGTTTCCAGTGGAAGCTCTTCTTGTTCTCACAACCAACATCTWCTTACCCCCCTCCACAGACACTATTCAGCAATGCTCAAAACACTCATTAGCAACACTATTCAGCAACAGTTCATCTCCAGCAACACTATCAGCAACACTAACCAGCTATTGAGTTGACACAAGCAAGCTACCAAGGACATCACATCAACACATTGATGACAACAAATCAATGACTCCCATCAGCAGTAGTCGACGCTCAGCAATACTATCACCAGAAATATCTCCAGCAACAGTCCTATCCACAGCAGTATTTCCAGCACAGCAACAGTATCTTCAACACTAACCAGCTATCAACACCTGCTAGCAAGGAGAACAACAAGAAGGACAACAACAACAGCAACAACAACAACAACAAATCAACATAGCAATGCTATCAGCAACACTATCAGCAACACTATCATCAGTGAGGGCACTCAGCAACATTATTGATGCCACTCAACAACATAACCAACTGACRTTYCTCAACCAACCAGCGTTCGTCAAGAACAACGACAACACAACAACCAGSCTTCTTTGAGTCCCAATCTGCAGCCTTTGAAGCAGCGTTTGAGTTAGAATCAGATATGGAAACTTTGTTTGAGGATGATGAAAGCTCAAGTGATGAGGAGGAGGTTGTTGATGAAACTGATCCTAATTATGATTCTGAAGCTTCTGGAATGMGTCACAAGGAGGCTGCACAAGCAGAGTTCTTCAATGTTATAACTCAGAGCCAACAAACAGCTTGGAATTGGGACAACACAATTGAGCCTCATGATACTGAGTTCTTCTATTGGAAATCAGGGTCACTATCAGCAAGCTTCCACTATAAGCTACCAAGGACAACCATGGGTTGACGCTATCAAC